ACCATATTTAAAATCGAGATAACATGTTCTTACCTTCACATCTTCTTGAAGTACTCTCTACCACACTCTATGCAACGTTTCATCCGTTTAAACCAATTATCAAATGACTATCGCCACACTTCTTTAGAGATATTGCAAATCTGAGCTTCATATGCAGCCACTGCAGCCTGAGCTGACTCGAAACGATGGCCTCTATTTTTTCTTTCACATAAGGGAAAATGAAAAAGTCACACGGGGCCAGGTCTGAACTGTAGGGTGGATGAGACAGTGTTTTAACCCTTGATTCTGTCAGAAATTCAGTTGTTGCTCTGGCTGTGTGGGATGAGGCGTTGTCGTGGTGGAGCAGGATTCCACGCAAACCTGATTTTGGACGGTTCTTTCTCAGCTCTTCAAACAATCTGGGCAAGCAAATTGTAGTGTACCATCTTGCAGTGACTGTCTTTTGTTCCTCGAGTGGCACTGTCACAATATGGCCACTGGCAGAGAAGAAAGAACAAATCATCATTTTGACAACGCTTGAGGGTTTTCTCTTTTTTGGAGGATTTTCATCTGGAAAGACCCACACTGATGACTGCCGTTTCATTTCTGGATCAAATTGATAAATCCAACTTTCGTCACCCATCACGATGTTAAAAATGTTTTTTGATCTTCCTCCATTGAACCTATCCATGGTCTCACGACATCAATCCACTCGCGCCCATCAGCACCATGCTGCTGATCCAATATTTAAAGCTTCTTGAATCTGAGCATATGTTCAACGAGGGTCTTTCCTTAGCAAATTTCCACTTTCAGCACATTGTTTTCCGTTGTTGCTGCGTTGGGCCTGCCAGAACCGTCTTCATCTTCCAGAGTCCCTTTTCCTCTTGAATTCGGCAAACCATCGATAGACAGTGGCTTCTGAAGGGCAACCATTGCCAAACGAACGCTGTAATATCTCGACGCATGATTTCGTATCTAAGCCAACCTTAAAGACATACAAAATCATAGCTCTGAAATGCTTTCTCTTTAGGTCCATCGTTACTGGCCGAGGAACAACTAATAGAACACAAATAGACCTTCTAAGTTAATAAATTATCTGAGCGTGTTCAAACTTACGTGAGATTCTTACTATAAGTTCCACCTATCAATGGAATTAGTTTCATTGTTGCTGAGGTACTCATTGTTGCTCTTTCTCAAAACTTTTGGAGTGACCTTTTGGACTTAGTAGCGTTTGAGACAAGCTCGGAAACAACGCAACACCCACCCAGCGTTGAAGAATCCAGAGAAGATCACCGGAGCACAGGCGAGGTGAATAAATAAATTACTAACAAATAGCGATATCTGTTAGTTGCTGCCCGCGACGAGACGGCGGCGAACTTCCAGCTCACGAAAAACGCGGAAGGGTTCGTCGTGACTTCACGCTCCCTACAAACAGCGGAGCAGCTGACTGATCGGCTCATTTTCTGTACGAGACGCCGAGTGCGGTGAGCGAAGGCCGGTAGGGCGGAGTCGACATCTTGTCATGGAACAGCGCTAGTAAGAACATCTTTCTGTACCAGACGCCGGGGTGAGAGGTCCATTGCGGTCAGCTAGACCGGTAGTAATTATAGAGTGCAGTTTTCGTTTGTACGCGACGTCGAAGAGTTCGGACGTGCGTACAGAGCTAGATGTGAGGATTGTGAGACGCAATTTTGTAGAAAGTATGGTGCGAAGTGATTGTTCAGGCGAAAGAATAGTAGTATAGCGGAAGATTCAGTCTTCTGAACTCTGATTAACTAAGCGAAGTGTAATATTTAAGAAAGACTGTTGAAAGTAGTGGAGTAGCTAATACGAGGCGGAATAGGAACCGCGAAAGCCAGAACTGCAAGCTGTTGGGACGCGTCAGAAGAACTGTGCAGTTAGCTACGCGAGTAGGAAGTGTTGTAAAGAACCAGAAATGCCAGAAACCGATACACCGTTAGGACTGTGATATACGCGTCGGCGTGTCGCATAGAAAGAGGGGCGAAGAAAGAAGCAGAGGCGAGGATTCCGGTGCCGGGCGTGGTCAAGAGGCAAGACGAAAGAAAATTGGACGTGGATCTGGTGGCAGGAGAGAAAAAAGACGGCGTTTCCAGTGACATCGTGGACGGATAGTCTGCGAGGAAGCGAAGCTACGGTGTAGCCGAAATTGGGCCAATGTCAAACGACGGCAACGCCGAACGGTTTGCAAGCTGCGCATTGAGCGCCCGTCAAAGGTAACATAAATTTTGTAAAGCGAACCGACAGAGTCTTTACCGTTAACGTAGCGTAGGAGCAGAAAGGCTGTTATTGTAAATTTGCATATTCCCGTAAAATCTAGGTAACGGCAAAGCAATTGAAAAAACATTGTACGCCGTTAATACAGTTAAATCTAATGTTAAATGTTACGAGAAAAGCTGTGTTAATCTTTGCTCCTCAATTGTGTGTAATCTTGGCGGGGAAAGTTTAACAGTAAATAATTGTAGTAAGTAAGCCATCCAATAACGTTTCGCTTAAAATCTACGTCTGTGTAGAACGAGGAATATAATTTTGATGCACTCCTCAGTCATTGAAAATTAATATTTGTTTAAACGGTGTTGGCCAATCGAAAGTTACCGTGAACGGATATTTGTTGTAACATAGTAGTGAATTACGAATACTGGAATCAGAGTGTATAAACCATAACAATTTTTTAATGGATGTGAACATTATTTTGATATTGTAGTATTTGTGTGCAATTTGATATTTGGGATTTTGTGTATTCTTTAACAGTGCTGGCATATGTGTTATATTCTGGAGAATATACGCACTGTTTTTACCTAATTCTGTGTCTGGATGTAAATCTTTCTCATTCCCCAAACGATCCAGCCTCTTGAGATTACAAAGCTCGTTCAGAGCATTCTTTCTGACGCCGGCAACTACGATTGTAGCGTTAGATTATTTATCTTCTCTATTAAATAGTACATATGCATTGCTATATATTTATCGGCTAGCAAAGACAGTGTTTGTAAAGATATATCGCAAATTTGATTACGTCGAAAAGATGGTTCAAGAAGAATGGTGCCAATGAAAGTTTCTCTGAAGAACAAGTTGAGCTATGGAAATGTTCAGTATTCTAAAACTTGTCAATAACCCTGATTCGCATGTCTTCGATAGGAAAATTCACTTGCCACACTTCTACGCGACTCGCGAATAACCCGAAACCGCCTAGTTCGGAGGGGCATCGGCAGATGACGTAATCCGCACAGCGAATTCCGGCAGGTGATGCAACATTACATTACCCGGTCCTTAGATGCGATCCGTTCCAGGGCGCGTTTAGTAAAATCATGCAGATATTTGAAGCTGGGGCCTCTATTGCAGTTGGAGGTTAAAAAGAAGCGACAGTTATAGTCTTCTTCGGATATGCTGACAATCCTGCAGACTAACATTTTCACCCCAGTGTACCGAAGAAGTGCATTCAACATGCTTCTTACTACTCTCCAGTTTACTTTCAGTACTTGTTGGTGAAATTCAATCAGAGATTTCCCAAGATTCTGATAGGTGGCCTTGCGATGGGACTTTCTTTTTGTGATGACGTAACACACGTATGTCGCGCAGTCGCAGGTCCTGATCAATATCCGCTGTGTTATCTTTTGTTCCTGGGTTTCTTCCGAAATTCTGCAATTGTCTGTCAATATTTCTACTAAAGTTTTGTAATTTTCACTAGTTTCTTTTAAATCCTGGAAGTTTCTGTTAATGTTTCTTTTTATATTTTCGGCTGGTTCTGTAATTCTTCTATTCTCCTGTATTTTCTATTGAATACAGCAGTAACACCTCTGGTCACATATAGGTCCTGGGCGACACAATGCGCTAATGAGTATTCCTGGGGCACCGCAAACAAATCCTGTTGCACTTCCATTGTCACACTATAACGCGCTATATCATTTCCGCCATGAGACATAAACTCATCAAAAGTGAACTCTTTCATGTCCAGCTCACAAACGCTTGCGGTATTTTCTCCGTGGTTTATCATTGAAAATGGGCCAGCTAAATCAATGGCAATTCTTTTAAAAGCACTTCCAATTTGTATTGCATCTGCGCTCTTTTTTCTTTTTATGAGGTCCATTACTAGTTGCATTAACTTCACACTTCGTGCACCACATCTTTACGTCTTGATTGGAATTAACCTAGTAAAATCGTTCGCGCACTTTCTCTAGCGTTTCCGTTATACCGAAATGACCTCTTGGGATTCCATCATGCAATTTCTCTAATATTCCAGGTCTTATTTTTCTTGGTAATAGTATATCCGTCCTAATGTTTCAATTCTGCGTCGTCTTTCTGAAGTTATTTGTGTTGCCATCGGTCGTAAATCTCAGTGCCCCTTATGCTAGGAGACATCATTTTCTCTTTTTATGGATTTAGTAATTTTTCCTCGCTCTTCAGAAATTTCTTAACCATTTTCTCAACTTTCTTTCGTTTTTCGAAATTTTCTCCTCTATTTTATTCTTCGTTCTTCAAAATTAACTTCTCGAAGCAATGTATTATTCTGTGTTATCTTTTGTTCCTGATTTCCTAACTTTTCTTCCGAAATTCTGGAATTTTCCTACTAAAGTTTTGTGTACAAATAAGCTTCAAACCAAAACTTTATTCAAAACGATCCATTATTTGAAGTATTATTGGAAGATATGTAATAGATATAAACTAAATTGAGTAATTTTTCTGGATGATTTAAAAAGTTTAAATATTGCAAATAAAATATATTCAATAAATTCTTCAATTTTGAACGAACTTTGTTTATCTAATCAAATCTATACACAATTTTGCAGTAGAAAACTCATTGATTATTCTTGTTGAATCATTTTTTTAATAGTACTTGTTCAATACTTATCAAATGTTTGGCTCATAATGGCTTTTATTTAGTTTTCATCATATTGATATGCGATTGTATTAAGAGTGAGTGTGATAAATTCAGTATTGTATTTTAAATCATGCGGATAAAGCTTTAATACTCAAAAGAAACATTTGATAAATAAAAACTTAAGAGAATCAGCTCTTTCTCTTCAGATTGTAATTAATGCAGTGACAATATATCCAAACAAACATATTTTGAACAGCTACATTTTAAAACTAAAACAATGTCTTTAGTCAGCACTGAAAATTAAACTTTAACATCATTGTACATATACTTGCGTTTCAGTACATTTTTACAGTAGGTTCACAAAATTAATAATCACAAAACTTTTTTCCTTCACTAGTGAGACTTTTTATATACAGTGTCTTAGAAAGCACAGGGCCAGTAGCATTTACTACTAGGATATAGAAGGGACTGGTTGTATGAGAACACTGACAAAATGTGAACTTTTTCAATTTTCAAAAATTCATCTAAAATTGGACTTGTGTCCTTTTAACAAATGCAAGAACGAGCTCTATTTGGGGAAAAAATCCAAAAAGCTATTGTAATTTAGAAAAAGTTATTGGGGCTTTGAGAAAATAACCCCACAAAATCTAAATGTTTTGGATTCAAGGGGACATGACCACAGACACATGGATTGGGGAATATCAATTTTGTTAAAAATTCAGTCCACTAGCTTTGACCATACAGATCGACAAACACTGGGGCTTGCGTAAAATGTTTTTTGATATGAAAACCCCACAAAACACACAGAAACTTTTTACTTAGTTAAAAGAAAGAATTGTAAGTGAGAAAGTAAAATTTTCAGCTTCAATATTTACGATGAAGGATAGATTAAAAAAAAATTAACTTTGTAATTTATGAAATTTTGAGACACTTCACTGAATTAAACTTACATTATTAAGTGTACATTACTTAATTTGGACAATATATTGGAGCCACTACAGAAAATTTGTTTCCATTATTTCAATTATCACTATTTCTCTCAAAATTATGCAAACAACACCATTTTGAAAAATTTTATTAAAAATAAAATTCTGAACAACAGATCTCATTGAAAAGTGAGAGGAGGAAAAGAAAATCAAGGCCTATTAATTATTCAAAAACTCTGACATTTGACACTTGAGTTTATAAACCTATGGATAAATATGGAAGAAATACTCTACTCAGGAATATGCAAGAAAATATATAATAAAAAATCATTGTTACATAACTTTATTGATAAGGTATGGCATTAAAACAAAGAACTGGAAGAACATAAAGAACAATACACATCATACTTTTATTTTCTTTCTGCAACATTTCAAAGCCAATCAGAAAATAATGTATCTTACAAAATGTAAGAAATTTCATGCTTTCTAATGAAAAAGAATCATCGTCTTTGACTTGTTTCTTCAGCAACATCTGAAAAGGATCAGAATATCATATTTAGTATGGTATATTTGTCAGTGACATGTTATTTAAAAAGGAACATTGATACATTTTCTATTTAAGCAGTAATAATCTAAGGTAAAACATACTGTTTTATAAATGCAAAAGAGCTATGTGAACAAGTTGTATGCACATATCAGAGATACTTCAATTATATATCTAACCTCCCCATAAATTTAAAATTCTAGGTTTAATATTTTAATAATGTGTTTCCTATAAACTACAACCTTTCATTCAATATTAAACATTGTGCAACTTTTACTTTTAACATTTAAAATTGTGCAAGACCAGTCACACATCTTACTCTAGTTTGTAAGCCTTTATTACACCTTGCATCTTCTGTATTTCAAAATGCAGCACTCTTAATAATGACTTTATTCATGACATTACGACACTGAATAATGCAATAAGTATTAACTAGCATATTTCAAAGATTTCGGGCAGATTTGAAGATATATTCTTTTGATGTACATTCCTCCCTAGTTGACAACATACGTCTAAATAGAAGGCCTGCTTTATGCAACTAGCTTACAATGATATATGTACACTCGTTTTTTGACGTTTGATCAGCCAGAGCATGGTTATTCATTTGGGAGCAATTTACATTTTGTTGTAGTAAAGCTCTGATGTAATAGCCACATCCTAGCTGATCAAATGTCAGAAGTCATTCTTATTAAATCAGAGAACTCTATTTTCCAAGTAAAAATTCTCAAATAAGCAACAGGGATGTGGGTAGGTTGAGTATCAGTGAATTTTCAAGAATTAATAAAGGTAAATAAACAAGTTGCATACATGATTTTCTTGTATACTAAGACTATAAATTGATTAAGAATGGAGAGTCAATTTACTGTAGTGTTTCAACTTTAGATTGCTGAACTGAGATAAAAGTCTAGTCTTCTTGGCACTTCTCCCAAATTAATCTTCTGTAAATCATGATTGTCGACATTTCAGAAAGAATAATTAAAAATTCAGAATTATTGAAACGGACCTATTTGTCTGGTAGAGAACAAATAAAACTTCATTAGAACTTATTTTTGTCAATTGACAAATAATCAATTCAAATTTTCACAAACACTTGCTTTTCACTCACGCCAATACTCATCACATCATATCATCTTTCAAATAACATTTGGTATGGGAGTAAACATTTGGTGCGTGTTTCTTTATTTTATGGACATACACTCACTACACTTCACTGCATATCACTATGGAATTCTTTACACCACTAATTTTTCACAGATTTTTCAGATGTCTTCATAGCCATCTCAATCCACTGTTTTCTTCATTGGTCTGCATTTGTGTTTGCATATGTGTGTGTGGTTGGCTACATCATGTGTATTTGTGGCATAGGTCTGGTCAAGAGGTGCAGAACTGAGTCTTGTGACATTAACTCTCCAAGGACGGAAATTATTTTTCATCAAAAATTTTGAATTTCTTTACTTCTTTTAATCCAAAAACTTTAGTTTAAGCCTCAAAAAATGATATGAAAATTATTACACATATCAGTGAAGAGCGGGAGAGAGAGTGACATTCGTCACACTTGTCCTTCAGGGGTGACAATTATACTAGGATGAAAGGAGAAAATATTCAACATGATGAGCTTTTATTTGCCCAACAAGCATTTACTCGTTCTCATTACTACAATATCGGTAACAAACAAATGACTTTTGACGAATATCTCTTTACATGCTTCACTGAAGATTCTCTGAATTGATGCATCCACACTTTTGTGCATCCATTTTTCAATCATTCCATAATACAAAACTGCCCTGGCATTAAAAATAAAAAAACAAACAAAGATGAAGATATAGAACTAAGTGAAAATAATACGAAGACACTCCAGGGCGTGAAAGCAGCGGTGAAGGATGAGTGCGACGTAAGTCACACTGACCTTACATGCCTCCACAGTTTCTCATAATAAAAATAAAATTAATTAATTTACATTGCTATTAGAACTATCTGTGAGAGCTATACCATTGAGGAAAATTTAATTCATAACAATAAAGACTATAAATTCAACTTACCCATGAACAGGGTCTATCAGAAAAAGTAACAATTTTTGAACAGCGGAAAAATTTTTATAACACCTTTTTGAACAAAATCACACAAGAAACTGATGAAACAGACCACCCTGTAAAAAGAATACACTTGCACTACCAGAAATTTCGACCTGCAGCAGTTACCACGGATTTGATTCTTGTTCAAAAAAAGTAATTCACGCCGATTTTGTATTATTTGATTCTTTTACTGTAATATTGTGTTTCTTTTATTAAGAGTGCTGCAAGTTTTTATATGAGATATTTGTTTTGCTGTGTACAAAAGCAAATGACTTCAAATATTAAAGAAATACATTGGCCAAGGAGTTTTACTTGGTGCAGAAAAGCAATGACTAAAAAAAAAAACAAATGAGCCTTAAAAAGCAGTTTTATGAACAATTAAACGCTGTGAAAACGTTTGTTTATAATAGTGCTTCGCAGCAAAGGACTATAAGTAACAAACGAACATATCAAAATACTTGATAGGTTTTCGAAATGTCAATATGAGAACTGTCTTAACACACAGAAAATCCTAGTTGCTTATAATATTCTGAAATATTTTGAACCAACTCTTCCTCTTCAGAAATACACACAAGCTTATTGGCCTGCACTTGCTTAAATGACTTAAAAGAATATTAATCTTATTACATATTAAAAAATGGAGTTAACAACAAGTACAACATATAACTTATATCTACTTACAAACAAAAAACTTTTCAGTCTAAACTTACTTTTGCCATCACATGCTACAATCTTCACTTTGTCCACTTTGGCAAAATCATTCATTTCACGAAACTCAACATCATTCAGCATAAAAGTCCACACATTATCACAAAATCGGTAGGTGTTCAGTTTTCCAGCCTAAAATGAAACACACTAATTCAGATAACATTGCAAAAACACGAACTCGGGAATGTGTGTGTGTGTGTTTCTTCTCAGAATTCCAAATGGAAGCTAGAACACACATGCTACAAAAACACCATGTTCAGATGATAGATTTTAAATATCTGGAGATGTTTTAAAAAAGGAATGAAACTTTTAAAAAAGAAAAATACAATTCTGAAAATAATGAATTTAATTTCTTAGATTGAAAATTTGCTATTCCCAAAATTAAGGTAGTTTGGGTCTTCTTCAATGCCAAAACACACCACAGATTGTGCCTTTAAGTAGAGAGGTCATGCTAAAAAATTGAAAAAGATTTCAAGTAAGATCTCGCTACACTCGGGATGCAGTCAAAAGGTTTCCAACAATTCCCACACAACTAACATCAATGAAAGATTTCACGTAGAGTGCACATTTTCCTTAATGATGAGAGATCATCATGGCTGAAAATGTGAATTAATTTGTAAACATTAAATATTACTATACTGTCATTTCTAGTTGAAGCATAGACTGGAGATCGTCAACTTTGCTCCTTGAGAAGAGAATATTGCTTAAGAGACAAGATATAATAACCATAAAAAAATTAAAAACTATAATTATTATTAGAAAAAACTAATATCTAAACCAACAAGAAATTAGCACATGTATAATACATTACAAAATCTCATTGTTACTTAAACAATTCACAAAGAAAATAGATTTAATGTACCATACCTTAAAGGTTAATCTTGATTTCACTCTGGTAGCCAAAGCATTATTAATGGCTCTATCAAACTGCAATAGTACTTTAATGGCAAGTTGGGGAGTTATTTGCCCATACTATAAGAAATATATTTACAAGTTATAATTCAGTATAATTTTAAAATTTTTAAACGTTTCATTAATTGTTGGCATTTTACCTGAATCAGTTCGTCCAGACTTTCCTGTAATGTATTACCCAAAGTTGTATTTCTATACAATTGATACGACATGCTATTTAAGAACTTAATTCCTTTTAAGAAATGACAGATGATTAAATTCGAAGGGAGTCTGAAACATAAACACGGAAGTGTTTTGTAATACTAGCTGTCGGTGATCTGTCGCACTTCAGTTATATATTTAGTGTACTTAAAATTAATAACATACTTATTATTTTCGAACTCCCTTCAAATCTTTCACCGAATTCGAACGCATTCAATGCGCTGTATCAAAAAAAATTAACGTTCATCATCCGCTACAACGACCAGCCGAAAACACACTCACACTCACTCCATTGAGTTTCATAAGTAGCTGGTAAGGAGAATGTAGACAAGCAACCGATGCCCTCAACCACCAGGGGCGTCACAAGCGTCTTTCTTTAACACACTCTTTGACAGATAAATAGTGTGAGGAATATTTCGAATGTCTTCCCGTGTTTCCCGTGCCCGTTCAATGTGTATTAATTTGCGTTTGTGAAATTTGGTTTGTGCATTAAGAAAGAGGCTTAACTCCGGTTTTGGAGGCATGCTAGTGGTATGAAAAACGGCGGCAACTAATCAGAATAAATTAACTTCAACATCATGTGATGAATGAAGGACACGGTTATAACGACAAAAGGGCACGCAATATCGCATTAGTTGGTTAAATGTAAGTTACGTACGTTACCTAGCACTTATTTGGCCTTGTTTCCTCGTTTATTGTCACTAAATTCTGACAGAGTTTTGTCTAATTTTCGGCAGGGTGTTGTAAGGCATTTTGGACGTTTTTTTCACAGAATTTGCACAAGAAATTGGCTTTGTGAAAGTGGTTTGCACAGATGGTAGTGGTAACCGTGGACCGCCAGTCTAATGTAGTCATGACGCATCATTTCGTGATTGGTTCCCATCCAGCTTCTGAGTATCATGAGATCCGAGGAATAGAATTCTTCGTCTATTAATTTCCTCTTTTGTAATATATACGCACGTTTCCTTGAGCCCCGAAATATCTACCCCCACTTCTTTGACGACATTCGATGATTTAAGAATAAATAATAACAACGAGCGTTGTAGACAAAATCTGATAACCAGAAATGTACTCTCCCATACAGTGGCTCACAAAATTGAGTGTACACTATAGAAAAAAATATAAAATGTCATCGAAAAAATACTTTTTACAGAATTGTGGTGTAAAAAATAAATATAAGTATGACGGCAAACCTTCTCACTCATACATTACATAATATAACTTTAAATAATGGGAGAAATAATAAATATAATATAAAAATTATCCTAATGTATATGCAATTCACCACAAAAATGAACGTACACTGGCAATTTGGTTCGAGAAAAACGAAAAATAATAAGTCAACATTTTGTGGAACGATCTTTAGCACAAATAACAACTTCCAGCCTTGCTGGCATTGATCTTAAAAACTTCCTTGTAAATTCAGGCGCGATATTTGGTTTAGGGGAACTTTTCACCATCTTATGCGGGAGGACCTTTTTGCCTACAATAAAAGATCAAAAATTCCGACTCAGTCTCTGTATGAGAACTAATTTACCTGCAATTGTCCCTTAAATTAACCTTGTGTCGAAACCATTCCAACGGTTTTGAGAAAGGAGCCCATTGTGGACTGAATGCGTGCTGCTGAGCGATGAGGTTACGAGCCTCTGATAGTTCAGCCCACGAACGTGCGGATCGACCCCGGATCAGGCGCGTGGAACGCGGTTCGCCGCCGATCGGCCTGCAAGGCCCTGCTATTCAGTTCCTTTTATAATGTCTGAAAGTTCAGGCCAGAAATTTGAGACTTCTACTTTTTGTTGGAATTTCATTTGAATCCCTATTTTGAATGATCTGTTCAATCCTTTGGTTTTCAGCTGTTCGAATGCTTTTTGCCAATACTCTTTCTCTCAAGAAAGGTTGTCACATCCTCTGATGTACTTTGTCACATCCGGCCTAGGTATAGCTATGCTGTCTGCTTTCCTACGAAGGTTGCCTTTTATGTTTCGGGATTTGGCAACTCTGGTGTTGCAATCTGGCAACTGACAGCTCTATCGTAAAGTTGGATGTTTTGAGGTTATACGTTATCAGAACGTTTTCACATACTAGCGCTATTTGTGTTGTTTACAGTAAGTTAAAAGATTCATCTTGGCCCAAAAATGGACTTAAATCGTGAACATTTTCGTGCGATTATTTTTTACAACTTTCGACGTGGATTAACTCAGCAACAGTGCATGGATGAACTTATTTCAAGTTTTGGCGATGAAGCTCCATCAAGGACCAGTGTTTATCGATGGTATGGTGAATTCAATCGTGCTCGAAAAGCATTGATGATGTGCGTGAACTGATATTGCAAGAACGTCATGTTACCTATCGTGAGATTGAGACAACCTTAGGCATTAGTGGGACCAGCATAATTCAATATTGCATGAACATTTGACTGTCAAAAAAATTTGTTCGCGTTGGATCCCACACAATTTGTCAGTCGCTAAAAAAAAAAGGCTCGTGTCGATTGGTCGAAAGAAATGCTCAAAAAATTCGGTCGCGGTGCTTCGAAACACGTCTATGCCATCGTGACAGGTGATGAATCGTGGATTTATGCATATGACCCCGAAAGTAAACAGCAGTCAACTGTATGGGTATTTCAAGATGAGCAAAATCCAACAAAAGTTGTTCGCGCACGAAGCACTTCCAAACAGATGGTCGCCTGTTTTTTCGGAAAAACTAGACATGTCGCAACCGTACCACTAGAACAACGCAGAACAGTCAATTCTGAGTGGTACACAACGATTTGTTTGCCAGCCGTCTTCCAAGAGATCAGGAAAACCAACCGCGGAAGACGGATCACTCTTCACCACGACAATGCGAGCTCTCACACATCGGCTCTAACAACTGCATTTTTGAGCATCCAAAATATCGATTTGATGAGTCATCCGCCGTATAGTCCTGACTTGGCACCGAATGACTTCTTTTTATAGAAGACCGTCTTGAAGTCTTAATTGAGAAGTATTTCTTTTATGCTCTTGTGAGATATATTTTTTACGTTCTTGGAAGTTATCTCTTCTACTTCTTTCGTAGTTTCTACTACGTATTGTTGTTGCTGCTGTTGAGGGTTCCGCTCGTTGTCCATTGTGTCTTCGTCACGGTTTTTGTGGTGCCTGCTCTTTCACCTTTGCTACCTCATTGGTATGACTTACTATGACAGTGGCATAGGATTTTGGGTTCAGATTCTACGTTTTGCAAGGATTTGGAGGGCGATGCATTTCGTCTCTGTTTGTGCTGTTAGTTTTCTTATTGTTTCATCCATGTTGTCTAGTATACGATTTACTTCCTCTTGCATCTCTTTTACTTCCTTTTGTACCGATCTTCCTGCTTTATACTACTGAAAATCTTTTTCACACATGTCGCTTAACCACATGAATTCGGACATTTTGTGCTTTGCTTTCAATGCATTTATTTGTCCCTGCTGCAATTCCGCACAACTTTGGTGCCTTTTGTGACATATGACGTCGCATTCCAACTTATTCATTTTCTTGAACGTGTCTTCGCATATGGGATATATGTACTGCATCTTGTTTGTTCTCTGCTGCGTAGTCTGTTCGTTTTGTTGTGTTGCAGTTGTGAGCTCTGCGCGTTGCTCTCGATTGTTTTGTCTTCTGTAAAGTGTTATTTCTTCTTTGCTGTCTGTTCTCCGATCGTCTTCTAGTAATGCTGTTGTCAGCCCTGCGTGTTGCTCTGTTGTTTGCCAGGATGGATTTTCTCACTTATTATGACTTTATATCGCCACTTTGGGTTGAGAAATTGTGCAACCTTCACTGATACTCACATTTTGTGCCTTTTTTGTCTGGGAAGTCAGGGAGCTCTTCTTTCTTTACACAATTCTTGTTTTATCCAATTATTCTCGTATCACTTTTGAAAACACGTCACACTTCTCACGCTACCAATCTGACCACGTTTTTTGTGGCAAATAACGACGCACGTATATGTAGTAGAGCAGTAATCTCGAAACGTATGTAGCTTGTGAGCAACCATACCGTTTTCAGTCCTACTGTGAGATACCAATAAACCAATACAGAATTTTGTTCTTCAAATCATAATATTTGTTAGTCTGCAAATAATCCCTATTTAATATGTAAAAAATTTTAATGAAGCTGTTTACAAGAAGAAAAACTGGAGAACAAGACTACGACATCGTCTCAATAGAACAAGTCCAGGTTAGCCTATTTTCAGCATGACCGCGATCTACCAAAACTGAACCGCGATCGACGGTTTTGCGATCACTGAATCAAACCAACGCCATCTACATTTTAGTAAATGCAAATTGTGTTAATTTGACACATGAGCTTGACTTGGTAGCTCATGTGACAAATGAAATGGGTGAAAGGGTCTTAAGAGGTTCTCCTATTGATTTCGTGATGTCGCTGAAGCTAAGTGAGTCCGATTAACTATCTACACTTTTCATACTATGTGCGCACGTTTTCTTGAGCTCCCTAGTTCTCGTTCAACCCGGAGCAGCACGACCCGAAAAGAAAATGAGTTCCACTCGGAACGTCAGGCTCAGTTTGCAGTGATGTACACCTTGGTCTTTTAAAATGCGGACATCTCAATTTTTCTTTCTCTCTTTCTAACAACCTCTGTTCCGTGTTCCTCCTTGTCAGACAAAAACTTCTAAAATTATGAAATATTTCTTCAGAATTTTCAAAAAACACATTATTTATCATTCCTATCTAATTCAAGATATGACATTGTGCTGTTTTCTGTCGACGTTGTCAGCACTGTACTAGCGTGACGTAGACAGAACCCGCCTCACCCCGCAGTGGAGAATCAAGAAAAGGTACAAGTAATATATATATATATATATATATATATATATATATATATATATATATATATATATATCGAAAATCCAATGATAATTTTCATATAGCTCACCACTAAAATAATGAACACAATTTTTCAGTTTTGTGTTGATATTTAATGATTGTCCATCACTAATTACCTTAAGTTTTTCAGAATAGGAGAAAGAACGAAAAGGAATTTGAAGAATTCTATATATAGCACAATGAAACGTTTTACTACTGTTCCCTGCCACAAGCAACTCATCCACTGCCACATCTGAACTGTACAGTATGGCGAGTTCAGAATGTACTCGCCAGGTTGCGACCTTTCACACACAAACATACATAACTTTTATTCTTTCGCGTTACAATTTCGAATTCACGATTTTTGTTTATTTATTTATTTACGTCAAAAAAAGTAAAAAAACTGTATGACGTGCTATGGGGGGAAGTTAATTTGAAGTTACATTTATGCCCGGAAGCAAAACAAGGGGCCAGCTTAGAATTTTCTCGAGGATCAGGGAAACTGGACAAAAACCTGATCGAGATTGGGGCCATTGACCCAGAAGCTGAAGTACAATACTTGTTACAGGTTCTTTACAATTATACTATCCAAATTGTATAAAATACATTCAATGTCATTGTTAAAATTAATATTACTTTCCTTTTGGATGATCGGTATAGTCTCTAATTGTATAGAAACAGTTGCGCAGCAGAAAAGATTTTACATAGGACTTAAACTTGTATATCGAATTTTATCGTTTAATGTCATCTCGCAAGGAGTAAAATAATGTACATGTATTATATGTGAATTTCTTGTAGTGAGATGTTGATACTGTCATCTGATGAATATGATTACTATGTCGAGTGTTGTAGTTATAGACAACGGCGTTTGCTGAAAATATATTCCCACCCATAAGTAAGTAATTTTTGACCAAAAACAGATTCACATATGAAGAGACAAGGTAATGGTAAAATACCTAGATTAATAAAGAGAAGTTAACAAGGATCACGAGGGTGGGATTTGCTTCAGTTACCCAGCTGTACTTAATAAAGTCTGCTTTTGCAAGTCTGCCAACTATGCCTGAGTTGTGGAGAGAGGCAGCCGTGCCGTCTGCCCCCCGCTCCCTGCTTCGGGGTCCAAAATCGAGGCACTTGACGTCTGAGATTCCCAGACCCGCTGCCGTATTATAACTGCATCAGAGGAGGGAGTATGAATGGTTCTTGGGAGAGAATACACAAACGTCAATGAGAACTCAAAAGACTGTGATGTGCAGAGAGTATATGTGAGGCGATGTCACATCTCCGGAAGGCAAAACCACACAGCTTGCACACAGAGCGTGGCCGTGAGTTCAATGACCTCGCCAACGAAGCGAGGTCGTTCAAGTGATGTTTCTCTGTCCGTCACATCCATCAGGGGGAGGGGCGGGGCTAACGCCTATTGGACAGAGCACGTAAATGGCGAGAGGGAATAGAGAAAGCTAGATACTTACGAAAAAAAGTAAAATACTTTACAGAAAATATTTTTAAGTGATGGAAAACTAGGGGATGCGCGCATACATTGAGCCTACGCCACTGGCAAGGAGAGTGAAAATGGGAAAGTGGGGAACTTATTGTATCTCTTAAAGGATTCCTCCCATCTGCATAAATATAGTCATAACTAATTTGTTACTATTATGAAATAACTCAGTTTTTACGTTATTATTAATTACGATGTTTACCACAAAAAGTAACACTAATCAAGCATTTTATAGGGTTACTATCTCAAAAAAAGTCTAATACATTAATTACATTAAATCATTTTAATGTAAATTCAAATATACCGCTTGGAATGTTGAATTTTTCGTATTGGGCGAAATTTGGCGGATTTACATCAACATATACTGGCCGCCAGTTTGGAAGTCCGATGCGGGAGATTCGCAGTAGCAAAAACCACGTGACCACGTGACCTTCACGAGCGAATATGCTTCAATCCTATATTCATTGAGGAGAACGTGAGTTCCCGTGCTTCCCAAAAATTTTGACTCATTTCTGGTGTCATCGCGTTGTTTTTTGTTTGTTTTTTTTGATCAAAAGTTAAAATTCAATATGTGTGAAGAAATCGTAAGCGTGATCTGCTGAGAAGTCAAGCGCGAATGACGGTGTATGAAGTTTATTCATTATTAAAGAAGGAAGCGGACGCAGACCATCCTATTTTCGGTGTTGCCAAATTTCAACAGCGGACAGCGGCAGCTTGTGACATTGCAGTAAAAAGTGTTGGACGCATTTTGAAGGCTGTCAAATCATCCCTTGCTGTGTCGGGATCCGTGCTTCTAAAATCACCTGGGAAACACTGCAAAAAATCACGTACGGTAACAAATCTGGACGATTTTGACAAAACGATAGTGAGCCAGACTGTATTAAAATTTTACGACTGAGATGAATACCCTACTGCAGAAAAATTAATCTGGAAGTTGCGAAAAGACATCGAATATAAGGTAAGTGTGAGGTCAATATACAGCAATTTAACATCTATGGGTTTTGAATATGTTAAATGCTAAGATGGTAGAAAGTTCCTCGTGGAACGCAGTGGCATTGTAAATGCTCGCGTTAGGTTTTTGAGAGAAATACCCGAGATTCGCACTCGAGAACCTAACACATGCATTTATTATATAGATGAAACCTGGGTTAATCAGAATGATTCCAGAAATTATTCTGGCAAACTCGGAACGCAGCAAGAGGATTGAAAGTGCAGGTACGAAAATGGACTGTGACATAGGTCCTTCCCATAATCAGAAGATCGAAGGGAGCACCCCCGGCTAGTACTCCCATCGCCGCCGTGGGAGTAGTCCTCATAGCACACGCAATCACCCTGAGGACATTACTACGTAGTCTCTCCAGTTTGGACTTAACATTGCCTTTCTTTATCGTGTTCCACCATACAACTGATCCATAAGTAAGTATGGGGAGAAGGATCGCTTTCAGAATCCATAATATAGTCTTGGGGCTAAGCCCCCATGTGCAGCCGACCGCACGCCAGCAGAGCCAGAGTGCGGACCAAAAGTTGGTGCAAACTCTTTGCACCTGGCTATTCCAATTTAGTCTGCTATCCAATATGATACCAAGGTATTTCACTTCCTTGGTTACCGTCAGTTCCACGTCAAACATACGTAAGGGCCTGATTTCCATTATTTTATATTTTCGGGTGAAAATAATGCATTCCGTTTTTGTCGCATTCACGGATTCGTTTGTTTTGCCGCACCATTCTTCAACCACACTGATGGCCTTCTGTGCTCGGTCCCTCAATGTGTCC